ATACCGAAACAGTGAAAATGCATCAGCAACGGCTATGACCCCGGAACCAAAAGAGAACTAGTCATCAAAAAAACTATAAGATAGTTAGTTCAGGCTTGACCCTAACTACAGGTGGCCTTGAAATGCGAAATCTTTGCGGATCGGGCTTAGATTCAACAGTGGTTACGCACTTCCTGAATCGGGAGTTGACTACTTGAATAATTAAATAAAAAAATATTTTAATAAACTGATATTTCTAAAACATGATCCAGATCCAGAAGGATTCTATAATCTATGTAATTTGAAGTCTTCTTTTGTAGAATGCGTCTGCTTTGAAAAGAACTGCGGACACTTTAAAAAATAGCTTTTTCAAAATTTACTTTGTTATCCGTTTTTACTTTCTCGTATAGTGTGAACGTTTTGCACATAGTATAAGTGCTTATAAATCGTTTTCCAGTCTATTTAGAATGCACTTGGTTCGTAGTAGTCTTTGGTTCTTTTATTCGGCAGTCACTCCTCCAGCGACAGAGCACCTTCTTTGTCCCTATGCAGATATGGCAGTTACTCTACATGTTCGCCATTAATCGTCGAATTCAGCATATGGGAATGCTAGACAATGGCATTCCTTACAGCTTTCAAATTTGAATTAATTTCCTTAAGTCCTTGAAGACATTGATTGCCTGACACCGGATGCTGTTAAGTACTCCATATGTGTGTAAAACATGAAGCTCATGTAATGGATACTTGTTTGATGTTCTTTTGCATGAACAGACTCGAAATACTTTATTTGAAATTTTCAGGTATTGCAGACCATCCTGTTTTTTGGTTCTTGCGTGGCGTTGTTGTACCACTTTGGTGTTATGCAGTTTTGCTTGGTGAAGTTGGCTTGGGTCATGCAAGCAACGATGGACACCAGTTCGACGGAATCTTTAAACGCCGTCGCGTCTACGCTTTTAGGCCAGTCCGAATCGCCGCTGTTGATTCGTCCGTACCTCAGTAAAATGACTGAATCTGAATTGTTTGCAGTCATGTGTGCTGGTTTTGCGTCATCCGCCGGTTCCCTGTTCGCTGCTTACGTTTCACTTGGGGTATGGCATTAACATGTTGTTGTTATTTTTTACGTAGTCCTCTGATACGAGCAGAGTTTAGACCACAGAGTGACCCAAATTTACATAATTTCTCCTTTAGAAATGATTCTTGAGCTTGATATTAAACAACGTTCACTGATGCGGCAAATATCGACACCTCTTCGCACACAGGTGTGCCTGATTCATCAACGTGTTCTACGTTTTGTATTGTCCTCCCACGCTTCTGTGTTCAACACGCGGTTCCAAACAGAAGAAAATTTTGGAAGCATTTGAGTTTCCTTTTTTGGGCTGTTTCATGAAACCGAACCAGGTGCTGGTCTGATAATTTTCTCAGACAGTTTCTTTAGCGTCTGCTCGTTGGTAATCCGATAGTATTTTGCTGATTGGCCTGAAATGATGATGATGCCTAACTTATCACTCATATTTGCATGATTTAGCTTAAAGTTGGTTTTAATATACATGTTCGTGTTGTTTAGGCCTGTCCCGCATATGTTGTTGCTGCTAGTATAATGTCTGCGCCTGCGTCACTTGCTTGCTCAAAGTTGTTCTTTCCTGAAACGGAACAGTCAAAGACAAAATCCGTCGAAGAGTTGAAACTCTTAGATGAGTGCGTAGTTTTGACCCCAATAATAGTTTAATTGCGCCATTTTGTTTAGGAAATATAGAAACGCATTGGAAGCCATATGCAGTGGAGCCGCTAATGTTGTCGACATAATATTTCATATCGCCGCAAGCCTTCTGGTGTTCATATCGTTTCTCACCTTTGCTAACAGCACAATCTCCTGGTTGGGAGACATGGTCGGGGTAGCCGGCTTCACGTTTGAGGTATGCAGTTATGTGATGACGAATGAGCTTACTTTTCTTATGCAAATTCTGTAGCGCATCTTCTCCTACATCTTCTATCCGGTAGCCTACATAATGGATGTCAGCGATTCGACTGATCAAAAGGAGTACACACGAGAGACGATGATCTTCGCAGAGCTAATGGGCACGAAGATAGTCCTGAATGAATTTCTCGCCTTCAAAAAAATGGGTCAGTACGTAAAGGATGGTCTTCTAAAGGTGAGTTCTTTTTTATTGTGTAAGCTGATCTACAAGTGGAACAGAGGCAAAACACTACAGAAGATTGCCCCACATAGATTTCTTGGCTCCACAACCTTAAAAAACGACAGTCCCATTGAGCCAGAGTTAAAAGGGAGGATCGCCATAGCCTCGAGTGCTTTTGGAAATCTCGCCAATATTTCGTCTGAGAAAGAAGTTACTCTTTCCACAAATATCCCTGCCTCTGTGAGGTCATTGCTGTTGTACGTCATGGAGACAGTTTTTCTAACGATGGAGCAAGAGTGACAGTTGGATTGCCTAAACAGCGTTAGCTTCGACGCTATAATATAGCAATATCACATAAGGAGCGACTCTATGCTTTTCCGGGCACAGATAAACGCAGAAGATGTTGAATATTCCGAAGGTTTCGACAAACTGGTTGAGCATAAACCATATACCGAACACGAGATAGATTTCCTTTCAAAATATTTCCTTCTACTATACAGTAACCGGTGCCTTATTGCAAAATGATTGAAAAATCTGTTAATACAGCGAACATCATAAACCAGAGACGGCTCAAGTTATGATCTAAACAAACACATCCGATGAAGGTTGGACGATAGGACGACTAAGAGAATAAACCTTTTCAGTTAGTTTATGTTGAGGTCATAAATTGTTCAGTGGACTGACGACCGTTTCTAAGAGACTTTGTGATCATGTAGTACATTAATATGCACTCATGTTTTTTCTCAATGTATTTTCGTGTTGGCTGCATAGCAGTAAACGTTCTTCTGTTAATTTGGCGAGTTAACTGTTGCTGTGATTTATCCATGCGCCATCGTGCACACTGTAGGGCTAGATGTTTTGAATTTTCTGCCTTGGGGATCGTGGTGCAATACGGTTTCGTATTCCATGTTTCCTTTTCCTATAGTTGAAATTTTGCTTCTGATGTGATGAGGAGAAATCTTCCGGGAAACTAAGGCATTACCACCACATATCAAGTGTC